GCATCTGCCTAAGTCACTTGAATAGGTTTCAGAGCAGGTTCATTTCCTTGGAATCCGAGTCAGGTTGAGACTTAAGTTTCTTCAAAAGCAATTCTTTCCAGGCTTCCAGAAGCAGAGGACAGTAGTGCTCTTAGCATTGAGATCCTCACCATCAGGCCCAAGGCTGAGCATATACTTGGAACTTACTAAAGTGAATAAATGAACTTCTGCCAGTGGTGCCCTTGCATGGTACTGGAGGGCCTGATTCATAACATGGGTACAGAAGTGGTTGGGGGAGAAAAAGTGGTAAAAGAGACCCCCGTGAAAGCAAGAAGAAGGCACAAACTGGTGAATAGTGAATGAGGGCCAGTAAACAGAAGTAAGCAGAAACAAGGCACAAACTGGTGAATAGTGAATGACGGCCAGTAATGATTTTTCGTAGTTTGAAGTCTGTGTCAGAGTTCCTTTCCCTTGCTGTGGAGCCCACCAACATCCCCCCGCAGGAATCACATTCCCCTGCCTTGGTACTGCTTGAAAAATGATGAAATGTACAGCTGGGAAGCGATGACAGCAAAGACCTGCACTTTATTCTGAGTTACCACACAACTGCAGTAGCGGGCTGAGTGGCTTTGCTGCGTGACTGGCTGGAGTTAACAATGCTGCTACTGACTAACCAATTCTTGCTTTTTTCTTTTTCCATTTATATTAGTTATCACTGAATAATTCCCTTAGTTATGACTGCCTTTTTCAAAGTTGCTTGATCTTAGTCTGTATTTGCTCCACACCCTATTCACGATCATATTCTTTCACGATCCTCTCAGTGTTCCACAAACCAGTTGGCATTTCTGGCAACGAATGTTAGAGGAAAACTAGCAGCCTGGACTCTTTTGGGTTTCTAGATGAGAAGCTTGTGATAATTCTTGGTAATTGAGGAATGAATGAAAGCCAATCAGGCTCTGCAGTATAGGAGAAGAAAAAATAAGTGAAATGCCAATCATTTTCCTCATTTCTCTGACATTCTTTTCTTTCTTCATAGCACCTGAAATGGATAGAAGTTGCAGTTTTTGTTACTTCCCATGAGTTTGTGTGTCTGGAATGAAAACAATGAAATTAATCTAGAGTAGGACATTTGTAAGGACATGGAATGGCATTGGGCATCACCAGGAGGACCTGCAAGGAATATCTGAGGATTATCAGAAACACTAGTAGAGAAATCTTTTAAATTTCTTCAAGCAGGGGAAAAAGTGAGTATTGTTTCAAATTAAGCAACATCTACAGTGAAGAGAAATCGAATAAAGTCTCAAATATAACAAATCTGTTACTTAACATCCTAATGTAAATTTATAACAAAAAAATGAAAGGTCAAATCTTTTTAAAAATGTTTAACTATGATAAAATATTTTTAAAACTTTTGGACTGATCTCTAAGAATTGCCATGACTCTGAAACTCAGTAATTCCGAAATATGGAAAAGCTTCAGTGAAAAATAACACTTGAGAATATACCAGATGTACACAAGGAAGAAGTTCTGAGAGTGGGAAAAGTACCACTAACAAATTTTTATATACTTAGAGATTACCTCGGTAAACATAAGAAGTTAAAGCTCAGTCATTGAGAATGCTACATTGAATGTAATAAACGTGAGATTTCTTCACATGGACAACAGAACCTATTAACTTTCTTTTTCACGTAAAGATACTAAACAATTGTTCAGGAATGCCAGCTCTCCAGACATCCCAATGTTAGGATAGCGTGGACTCTTTATCCAGGTGGGTGGCCTGCTGCCCAGTGAACACTACGTACAGAGCACCACAAGCACTTTTGTTTCTGGCAGTGAGGTAAAATCAGGTCGTTTTGGAAGGGGAGAAGCCACTCTGCATCTCTGCTACATAAGATTACTCTCTCTATGCCTTTGAGGCTTTCACACTCCCTTCTCAAGCACTACTTTTTATGTAGACTCTCACTTGGCTTTGTTCTTGGGGACACATCTCACCTCTGCTCCTGTTGTCTTTTTCTGTGTTGAGTTAGGGAGAGTATGCAGGTATTCCTGTTATTCCTGACTGGTGCTGCTGTATCTGTCAAGAAAGGAGGAGGTGGATGGGGTTCTGAGAACACATCATCCGTATCTTGCAGGAGCAACAGCTAGATAGGGCTTTGATAGTGGTGGCTTTCTGAGTTCATAAGACCTTCATCTGTAGACTCACACTTCAGTCATGAGCCTTTATCCCTTTTAGCCCAATACCCTTCTGTACGAATGCCTGTGCCTTTTGGGGCTTTAAGCTAGTTTTTTGTTTTGCTTTTAATTTTTTCCAATTCAGTAAGGCTTTTCCCTCTTTTTCTCCTGTTGGTTGTTTGAACAAAATTCACTATGAATAAAAGAGGGAAATATACAACATTGAATTTGGAGGAGAAAATGAAGGTTCTCAGTAGGATTGAAGCTGGACGATCTCTTAAAAGTGTAATGGATGAATTTGGAATCAGTAAATCAACATTTTATGACATTAAAAAGAATAAGAAATTGATTTTGGACTTTGTACTGAAGCAGGACATGCCATTAGCAGGGGCTGAGAAGAGAAAAAGGACAACAGGAGCCAAATATGGTGATGTGGATGATGCAGTCTACATGTGGTACCAACGGAAACGCTCAGCTGGTGTCCCTGTTAGAGGTGTGGAGCTTCAGGCTGCTGCAGAGAGATTCGCACAGTGTTTTGGGCGAACAGACTTTAAAGCTAGCACTGGCTGGCTTTTTAGATTTCGAAATAGGCACGCAATTGGGAATCGAAAAGTATGTGGGGAACAAGTCCTAAGTTCAGCTTCAGAAAATGTTGAACCATTTCGACGAAAACTGTACATGCTTATCAAAGAGGAGAAACTGAGTCTAGCTCAGCTGTACAGTGGGGATGAGACTGACCTCTTTTGGAAGTCAATGCCAGAAAACATTCAGGCAAGCAGAAAAGAGATCTGCCTGCCTGGGAGGAAAATAAACAAAGAACGGTTGTCTGCTCTTTTATGTGCAAATGCAGATGGAACTCATAAGTTAAAGTCAATCATTATTGGAAAATCAAAGCTGCCCAGAAGTGTGAAAGAGGACACAAATACCTTACCTGTGATATATAAGCCTAGTAAAGATGTTTGGTTCACCAGAGAATTGTTTTCAGAATGGTTCTTTCAAAACTTTGTTCCCGAGGTCAGGCATTTTCAACTTAGTGTTTTAGGATTCCATGAAGAGGATGTCAGGGCCTTGTTACTTCTGGACAGTTCTCCAGTTCACTCTTCTGCCGAATCACTAACCAGTGAGGATGGTCGAATAAAATGCATGTTCTTTCCCCATAACACTTCAACCTTGATTCAGCCAATGAATCAAGGTGTGATCTTGAGCTGCAAACGACTTTATAGGTGGAAGCAACTTGAAGAGAGTCTTGTAATTTTTGAAGAAAGTGATGATGAGCAAGATAAAGGAGAAAAAGGAGTTTCCAAGATTAAAATCTACAACATAAAAAGTGCAATTTTTAACTGGGCAAAGAGTTGGGATGAAGTGAAACAAATAACCATAGCAAATGCATGGGAAAATCTTCTTTACAAAAAGGAACCTGAATATGATATTCAAGGCTTAGAAGATGGAGATTATAGAGACATCCTGGAGAAATGTGGGGAGTTGGAAACCACACTGGCTGATGATAGAGTGTGGTTCAATGGGGAGGATGAAGAAAAGGGTAGCCCCGCAAAAACAAAAAGTGGAATTACAAAGGAAGTTGTTCAGAAAGGAGGAGGAGCTGAAGAGCAGACTGCTGAATTTCAGTTACCTGCTGTCAGAGAGAGTTTGGACTACCTACTTGACTTTGTTGATGTCACACCTGAGTTTCAAAGGTTCCGTTTCACACTGAAAGAGATGCAACAAGAAATAATAAAAAAAGAGTTCCAGAGTAGAATCCATTCTAGGATTGGTAGTTTTTTGAAACCCAGGCCTCGTGTTATGAAGGACTCCTTCAATATGCCTTCAACTTCTAGTAATTAGATTTTGTGTTTAAAGGTTTCTGTAGTTATGTATGATGCAGACCTGTTATGAATTGTCATTGTTTTTATCAGCTGACCTCATTTTGCATAGCACTGCCCATTTATATATTGTTTATAATACATACAATTTAAAAATAAATTTCTTTAAAATATAAAAACATTCATTAATCCATTTTTATTTCTGTTTTAGCCAAGGATCTGAATAACGAAGAGTTATTGTCCCAGATTATCTAAGGTGGAATGGATGTGGGAAAAGCATTACATTCTATCTCATTCAGAGCATATAACAAGAAGCTATATGCTGACTAGTTCTAGTTATTTTTTAAAAGATTTTTTAAAAGTACATAAAATAAAAAAATAAAAAGATAAGAGATTTGGTTTTCAGTTTAATAGTGTGACATGCTCTGCTTTCTTAAATTTGTACCACCTGCTGTCCCCCCTTCTTGTGCAAGTAACATGCTGATTATAGAAGATACATATTTAAAAGATGAAAAGCACCCAACATCTGTCGACCAATGATAGTTTAACACTTTGGTATATTTTATGTATTTAAAAAATAGGCAGATTACTTGGTAAATACAAGTTTTTATATCTTATTGTCTTAACATGCTTTAGACCTTGGCATTAATAAAACGTTAGCATTTGTTTTAAGCCTAGGGTAGAATGGATTGTGGGAGAAGTTGATGGGAATGTCTGATGAGTTTACTGGACAGCTCTCTAGTTCCTTTTAAGTCATTGCATCAAACGCCCCACCCCCGCCACAGGTAATACATTTCCAGAGTAAATGACCGGCAGTCACACCCTTTTGAAAAGTATTCACTAATTCTGGAAGCCTCACGTTGCCTTTCCGTGCTAGGTACCGAGCCTGGTGTTGGACATTTAGACTTGAATTAGAAAGAAAACGAATAGGAACAAACCACCATTCAATGTGTAAGTGCTAGGTGAGTGTGGAGAGGGCTTTGGGAGTGTTTGGGTAGCAGGGGAAGTATCTAAGAGGGTCAAGTGCGACTTCTGAGCTGAGCTTTAAAATTTAGTGCTGGCAGTGGCAGGGCAGTCCGGGCAAAGAGCTCAGGCTCTTCGATTTGAGAGTGAATCTCCCTGGGAAGTTGCAAGATCCCTGGATGGTTGCTGTAGGAGCAGCTGGCAAAGAAAAGCAGGAAAAGACAGGTCCGGGCCAGATTTTCATGCTAGGTCATCCTAGGATTTCAGACATCCGTCTGGGCCCACGTAAAGTTCTGTCGGTTCGACATCCTAAATGGCTCACCTTTTGTCTCCACTTCTCCCTCCCTGCTGTTCGTGTCCCGGTCCAGGCTGCCATCACCCCCTGACTGGACAACTGCATCAGTTTCTTGTCCTCTCCCGATCCTTTCTCATCCTGTAGCCCCTTCGTGGGCTTCCCATTGCATTTAAGCAAAGACTCCTGACCTCAGGTCGGCCTGCAGGCCCGCCCTTCCCGGCGCCTGAAACTCCCCTTTCCCGGCCACGACACCACCCAGGTCTGCGCTCGCCCCCTGCTGGACCACGAGAAGCCGGGCCCGCTGTAGGCCCCGGGTAAGCGCACACCTGAGAAACCGGGGAAGGTTTCGGGGAGGGTTGTAGCGCCGCCGGCGTCCGCTGGGAAAGAGGGAGAGGGAAGGCTGCGGCCTGGTGGCCCGGCCCAGCCCTATGAGCCGAGAACTGTGCGGAGCGCCAGCCAGTGTGCCAGAGCCACCTGAGCGTAAGGGCCGGGCGGCCCTAGGGGAAGTCGCGGCCCGGCGCAGCCATAGGGCGTCCGCCAAGCGGGCCAGAGTGGCCAGGGGGAGAGGTTGCGGGTGGAGAGCAGGCCCGTGAGACGGGCGCAGCCATAGAGTGTCAAGGGGCGGGCCAGAGCGGCCGGGGAAAAGGGGGTGGGCCCGAAGGGAGGAGAGGCCGGACGCAACCATGGAGTTCCTGCCGGCGAACTAGAGAGGCCAGAGTGGGGAGGCGTCGTGCCCTAGCTGTCCCCGGTCCGGGAGCAGAGGCCGCCAGAAAGCTTGGGCGTAGGGTGAGGGAAGGTTTGTGAGGACTGGGCTGCCGAGCGCCCGCCCCGTCACCTCCTATTCCTTCCCGGGCCCGCGCAGGAGCCGTTCTCGGTGGGGCAGGAGCGCAGGCGGGGGGTTAGGCCGTCAGGAAGGGGCTGATGTCTTTGGTTCTGGAAATCATATTTTCAGGACTAGAGCTCCTCCGGAAAACCCAGGCACCTCACTCTCGTTCCGGTGGCTGATCCCCCGCCCCCTCCCCCGAAGAACGGGAAAGAGTGGGGATACGGAGGCAAACACGACAACGCATTATGTCCAAAAACATACCCCAGGATTTGAGAAAGAAACTTAGTAATTTCTTTCCTTACCCTTTCTTGCCTCCGGAAATCTGACCACCTCCTCAGAGCAGGTTTGGAACCTGGCGTGTCACCAGTTTTGATCTCTGCCTACAGCTTCTGGGACATTTCAGTGATAAATTGAGGATATTAACTGAAAGATTTGTCCAAATGTGTTGGTGTTCTGAGCGACTTTTAATCATCCATTTTCTCATTGTTGAATTTACCTGGACCATTCCCACTGCCTAACTGCCTACGTGAGGCATCATATAGCTCCTTTTAGTAAAAATGACTTGATCAGAAAGAATTATGTCTCCCTTTCAACAGTGGAAGTCAAATTTTAATCAAGTGTTTGCAAGCTAGATTGAAGGCTAAAGGGATGAATGCACCTCTATTTTTCTAATAAATGCACTTTTGCTTTTATCTTAACTATTTTTGAGTTGCTGACACCCAAAGAAGTTAGCCCCCTAGTGCTAATAAATTTGCTAGAACTTTTTAATGGCTTAGTTGTTTCAAATGTTTGTGAAACATTTACAAAAATTACAAGTCTTAAAGCAGTGGTGGTGATTCTGCACTTTCCAAAATGCTATCAGTTGACAGTGTAATTCAACAGTAAACTCTTCATAAAAGGGCTGGAGGTACAGAATCTTGAACTTCAGATTATGATATTGAGACCCATAAATCCTTCCCTTACTGCAATAAAAATTCTTACTGATTGCTGATGTTTTTTTCTGGAGAAAAAAATTGTTTAATACTTTTTCCAGTCTCTGGCCTTACAGGCTTTGTCCTCAGTGATGTCTGGCCCCGCTGCTCTTAATTTGCCTCTGCCAGGTTTTTTCACAGTGCTTAAATGTAGTACCAATTCTCCACCCAGGAGTCCTTCCTTCTGTTGGTCTTCTGTGCTACCTTTGCTCCAAGGACTGTGGCTATTGCTCAGGGTCAGTCCACATCTCCCAGGTCTCCTTTGTAACCCATCTGGGCTGAGGGGGGCAAGGGTCTTTATTGCCCCAGTGTCAGTCTCCCGTTGACCTAGGAGCCAGTTGGAGACGTCTGGTTTCTTTTTCAAGGACTAGTGGGTAAAAGTATAAACGTAAAAAGTGCGTGTGCAGCATTAAAGTACAAATGTAAGAAAGCACACATTGGCCATCCCTTGCAGTGACCTCGTGGGAGCCTGCAGTAAGGACCTCCAACCTGCTCTTTGATATAACCACAAGGAAAGAAATCATCATTCCTGCCTGTCAGTAACAGAAATTTCTGCCAGCGTGGTCTTACATTGGCATCAGTGGCAGGTGCTTGGAAGGCAGTCTTGCCAGTATTTTCTGCCCACAGATGACACCAATGGATGAATACTCTCTATGTGCCAGGACCTGAGCCAGATGTTTTGCATGGAATATTCTGTGAAATCATCTCATTAAAACAGCCAAGAACAGCTCTGCTTGTGAATTAGCTAGAAGGGGAGCTAAACGGGGGGCGCTTCCTATTGGAAAGCCTTTTTAGTGCAGGGAGTGAATTTCTGGGGGCTCTCATTGCTCTAGCCTGAAGCTGCAGTGCTCCCAGTAGGAGCAACACACTTGGACCACTATCAGATCTGCATGGGTGACACTATAGGGGAGAGGGGTGAAAGGGAGGGGTGCTTTCCATTCTCACGAGATTTACAATCCATTTAAGTTGCAATCTTAACCAGAGTGCTTAGTAACAACATCAACTTGACGTCACCCACACATTTCATGGCATTAGCAACCAAACCAATAAGTCCTAAATTAATCTCTCTCAAATCTTAACCCTCTCTCCTGCCCCTCAAACCCTGCACTACCCCTGCCCTCTTATGGAGAAAGGAAGAGAAATAAGAAACTAAGATTTTTTTTATTCTTTTCAAAGGTTTTATTTGCCAGAGAGAGAGAGCCAGCGAGAGAGCATGAGAGCACAAGCAGGGGGAGCGGCAGGCAGAGGGAGAAGCAGGCTCCCCCCGAGCAGGGAGCCCGATGTGGGGCCCGACCCCAGGACCCTGAGATCATGACCTAAGCCGAAGGCAGACACTTAACCAACTGAGCCACGCAGGTGTCCCAAGAAACTAAGATTTTTTTAAAAACTGGCTCAGAAAACCAAGGACAAACTCATACTACACTGAGGCAGGGCTGAGATAAGACTGATCAGGAAATGGGGGGAGGGGTATGCACGGTTGTTTCCCTCACTTAAAATTAGTGTATTTGATAGCCAATTGCCAGGTAATGTTCCACCTTTTTCTCCCAGAGAACAGTTAGCTATCTTCCTCCAGGGCCAAATCCTAAGAGGTTTTCCTGGCATCAGAATTTCCTACTCCTAGAATACT